CAGGCATACAACATCACATGCTAACATTACAACCAAACAACACAAGTTTCATGTCCTCCTACCAGATAAAAAACATCCTTAGAGGTATCCAGAGATCCGAACCCCCACGTACCGCGCAAAGGCTACCTATAGACTTCAATATCTTCAAGGATTTATCCAGCCTACTAGATTCAAAACCCTTTGCGAACAACACAAACCTTGTTATAAAAACCGCCATATACGTAGCTTTTTATGGTTTCTTGAGACCAAGAGAATTTACCGCCATCAACACATCCCAGTCCACTCACATTCTGCTTCATTCACACTTAACGAAACACATGGATTACTATATTTTAGCTCTGCATCACTCCAAAACCAATCAACACGCACCCCCGGTAGAGGTTAGATACTATCCTACCCACAACGTGTGGTGCCCCGTCACATTACTGGACACCTATACTCAGCATTTCAAAGCATCACCATCTCAACCACTTTTCTGTCTACAAGGTTCGGTACTCACTACCACCACCTTCATGACCCACGTCAGGTCCCTACTTACACAACTAGGCCTAAAATCAGCTAACTATTCGGGCCACTCCTTCCGCATAGGGGCGGCCTCCACAGCGTCCAGTGCAAACATTCCAGTACATGTTATCAAGTCACTAGGGCGCTGGAAGTCTTCTGCATACTCTAGATACATACCTAACCCGGTACAAAAAGTTAGAAATGCCTTTCAAGATATGTCTGGTTGAAGTATGTATATTGCTCGTTTCGTAATAAAGTATATTTTCTACTTTTGCCCTCTTTATTTGCAGGCCTACCTCATCGTCGGTTCCGGCACACCACAACCGACTTGCTCTTTCAGACTATCGCACACTTATCGGTGTTTGTATCTTCTGTACTATCATGAGCCCTTAACACAAGTATTAAGGCCTTTTGGCCTGTAATTGTGGGAGGGGCGTATGACTCACCTTCTCCCTACTTAAGGGACACCCCTTACCTGGCTCCATACCGTTCGAGGTCAGCGCTGCATCACCCTCCCACCCACTCCTCTTTTATTAACTCCTTTTCTCATACATTTCTTATTGGTGGGCCCTCTTTATTTGCAGGCCTACCTCATCGTCGGTTCCGGCACACCACAACCGACTTGCTCTTTCACACTATCCCACACTTATCAGTGTTTGTATCTTCTGTACTATCATGAGCCCTTAACACAAATATATATTTATATATTGAACTATAATTGGAAATGTGCCACGATACGGTGAATCTTTGATCGTGTTTTGCTCAGTCTTCTAACCATCACATCACAGCGCTCTTGGAGAGGATGTCGGAAAAGTGAGGAAGCGACTGAGGATAACCGGGAGTTGGGAGTTCTGCCTTCCTGTGGATTTTGGGAACACCTCAAAACCAGACTGGGAGCTCCTACTAAACCACATGGAACGCTGTGCTGGGTAGGAGAATTGCTGCAACCTGGGGAGAGATTAAAGTATGGTTACCTCCTATTTGGGCGCCTTTGGGACAGTGGGTAGCTGAGAAGGCAAGCTACCCATGGATGCATGGTTTGTGGGGATCTTTTACTGGTGAAGTGAGCTTCGTGGCTCAGACTCCTGGCATCCTGTTTAGAAATGACACAGCAGGGGGGAATATCATTAACATTAATCATGGCGATGGGGAGGGAATTGTATTGTATTATATGGTATGTATTGTATGGATGACCCCCTGCCAGGGCCAGAGTAACACTGGTGCTGCTGTAGCTTTCTTCTACACTCACTACATCCACATTTTCTCTGTTTCAGACTGTATACCAGGAGCTTCTGCCTGCTAGTAAGAAGGTAAGGAGACAAGTGGACATGTGAATGCTAGGGAACAGTCCTTGGAAAGCATGGAGTAAGCGCATCATTAGACACATTTATGACAAACTCAGGATTCTGTTGGCCAGTATACATGATTGGCAGGCAGCCTGACATGCATTCATGAGTGTATAAAATACAGTATGGGCTGTGCCACAGTTTGCAAAGAAAGCAGTTTGTTACACTGCATAAGTAATAAAGGGCCTTTATAGTACGTGAAAGAATATCTGTTTGCCAGGGCAGCAAAACTTTCATCTGCACAAAAGTCAGATGACATCTAGAGGAAGGCGAGCAGCGGTAGCCAGAATGAGATGCGTGAAGAAATCCGAGGTGGGGATAATACCACTAAAACCATAGAGCAGTTTGCCTGCTTTCTACTTTGTGAATGCATTTTATTATATTCTTATCACACAGTTTTTATCTAGTGAGAGCACTATTGTCGCCTCCCTACCCCTGATTGTCATTTGATCCCCAGTTGTCGCTGAGCTCACAAGAATGAGGATACTTACATTATACCCCGAAGTGGGGATTGTACCACTACAAGCGCTTGATGCTAGAGTTAGCTATAGCTCAGTGAATTGTGAGTATGTTATCGCTATTCTACTATAACCACTTTATACGATACATATTGCACTATTGCGTCCTTTCCGCTTCTTCTCTCCTTTTTATATATATGACTGGATACCGGAGAGACTGATCATGGACACTATTTCCAGAACCTAAGAACCCATATTCTACCCTGAACATATCCCAAAGACACCATTGGTGTGAACATAAAGATTTTGTCTCTATATATTTCAGGACTTTCTTTTATATTTACATATTTCCCATTTTTATATCCTATTATCTCCTGTTGCGCAGCCCATACTGTATTAAAAAGACACTGCTGTTTTTTTTCAAAGGGTAAGAGGGAACCCCTTTGTTGTTGTTGCTGTCTATCCATTAATATATTAGCGCTGATCTATTTGTGTGTATATGACATGCATTCATGCCAGGCTAGCCTTCCAATTCATTGGGCAGACACGTCTCCTTTTTGGGCAAGTTCGTTCCTTTCAGGAGTTCTGGTTACATGATCCGTGTCAGCGGCCCATCCTTTTACACCGTCCATTGACTTCCTGCTTCACTGGACACTGTTGTTAGGGGTATGGATTTACTTGAAAAATTAAAGTATGAATTAGAGAGAAATAAGTATATTTTAAGAGAATCTGAGTTTTCTTATAGCTGCATCCTATGAGTTTCCCTTTCGGCAACATCTCCACCAGATACATAACGCTTGAGAGGTATGACTGTTTTAGTGTTTTTGGTCGATGAGATTCTGTACTTAGGCCCCTCATAATTGTCAGCACCAGGCCCACTGGGCTCTTAATCTGGCTCCCCCCCCCCACCCCCCGCAGGGTCGATCTACATCTGGGGAATATAAATATATGGGGGTAGTGCTTAATAAAGTTGTTCTGGTTTACACCAACATTAACTCTTGGCTACTGTTTGGGGAAAAGAACTGTACTCTCTCTCTGCAAAGATGACGAAAGTATCCAAACTATATTAAATCCACCTAAAGCGGCTGACATTCACTTTTGGCGAAAACTGCGACAGGATTAAAAAGTTATAAAATCCATGTGATAACAATGGAGGGAGCTGACATAGTGGAGATACTCAAGTACAAGAGTTCAATTACTTTTCAAGTCCAGTGTTTATTACGGTTTTCTTTTACTTACTCTGTGTCTGTCCATTTGTTTGTAATATATATATATTCATACACGCTGTAAATCCTTTTTGCTCATAATAAATGTTTTATTTTTGTCTAGTATAAGAATCACTTTACAGAAAAGACTTACATAATAATACTGTGTTTCATAGACATTTTTGCTAAATTATGTTTTGTGGGTTTTTAATCTAATTCGGTTGTGGGAACCTAGGACTCCCCATTTTTTGTTCTGGTAGTGGTAGCTTGCTATGTTGAAACGTGGGTACTGTTAAAAGGGATTTTTAAAAATCTTTATTTTGTGTCTAGTGGTGATAAATCATGGTTTTTAACCTTCTCACCCACTGAAGCACATGACTGCCTGGGGAGGTTATGTTTGTGACAGTCTATGCTGACACCCTCCGACCTTCCTCGATCATGCTGTCCTCTTCCATCACTCAACAGGCAATCCTTTTAATTCTGATGTGAAAGGACAGCTGCTTCCTCTCCAGGACTTCTCATAAAGGTCACAGGTTGGCATCTGTTCTCTTGTATTAGATAAGAAGGAAGCTGAGAAGTTTCACCCACATATGAGTTCCCAATATGGTGCCCCCTAGAGGCCATGTGCATAGCCTTTCAGTAGCCGAACCATGGAGGTCTAAACAGCTTGTGCTCTCAAAGCTAATAAGATCCCTTTCTCCTTACGCCTGCCTGACCTATGCACCTATCACGAGATTCTATTGTCAAAGTTCCCACTGCTCAATGCTTTTCTCATTAACAAACATCATTTCTGTTTGAAGTGAACAGAGAGTTTCTTTCACTACTGTGACAAATACTACATTAATCAAATTAATTCTGGTATAATCGGGGACCCTGAGACATGTAAAAGGTATAAATATTATCCACTAAACATTGTATATCAATGCATATAATATAGAATACCTGGGCTTCTTTCACGACCCATTTTCATTTCACACATGCTTTGAGTGCAAGCCTCTTATTTCTATGTGATTTCCTATGTATATTTGATGTGTTTTCAAAATAAAATATTTACAGTTTATTTTCAGTGAAATAATACAAAAGGCAAATTCTGAGGACAAACAACATAAAACACAAAGAATATTTTTGAATGAAGAAAATTAGTTGCATCCTCTAGGGCAAAGATAGGGCAGGTCTCCCAGAGAAGGAGACCGTGTATCATCAAATATTTTATACATGAAGGTATATATTTCTATTGAAAGCGTTGTTTAATGCTCCATCTATTAGTATTGCAATGTGCATCATCCATGTGACATACTGCAAGCAGGGAGTAGATCACGCAAGCAGAATCAGGGCTAAGTAAACCACGACAAAACTATAATTCAGGGATTAAAAATTACTGAAAAAAAGACCAGGGGAAATGGACATAGTTCGGCACAAGATAACTAGAATGAAAATATTCAAACTAAACGTGAAATGAATGGACACTGCATTATTTGGTTGTAACGTCATATAGCAAGGACTTCGCCATCCATGTGCATCTTTTGGTGGCGGCTCATGTTGGAGCAATGGCGGAATGATTTCCCACACTCCTTGCACTTATAAGGCTTCTCGCCTGTGTGAACCCTGTGATGTTTCTTCAGCTCTGAGCTGAGGATGAAGCTTTTACAACAGACTTGGCAGCTAAAGGGCCGCTCCCCTGTGTGGGTTCTCCTATGTCGTATGATCTGGGACCTCTGGCTGAAGCTCTTTCCACACTCGGAACAGGTGAAAGGTTTAACCCCAGAGTGAGTTCTTTGGTGTATAACAAGGTCTGAGCTGCGGATGAAGCTGTTCCCACACTCAACGCAGATAAAAGGCTTTTCTCCTGTGTGGGTCCTGTAGTGAACCATAAGGTCAGCACTCTGACTGAAGCGCCTTCCACACTCGATACATGCATATGGTTTCTCGCCTGTGTGAATTCGCTCATGGTTCTTCAAACCTGAATTTTGACTGAATTGTTTTCCACAATAAAGACAGGCATAGGGTTTCTCTCCTGTGTGGATCCTCTCATGCTTTCTTAGAACAGAGCTTCTCCCAAAATGCTTCCCACAGAAAATGCACCCATAGGGCTTTTCCCCTGTGTGAGTTCTCTGATGGACAATAAGATTAGACTTCCCAATAAAGGTTTTCCCACACTCTGTGCACATGAATTCTCGTCCTGTTCTCTTCTGGCTTAAACTATGCACTTTAGTGTTAGAACCACAGCTCTGGTTCCCTGCAGGAACCATGCTGTCTGCTTCCAGGCTTACAGGGTTGTGTAATTTTAGATGTTCTACATAAGCAATCTCATACGAGAAGCTTTGTCCACACTCAATACAGATATAAGAGCTTAAGTTGTGTGTTAGTGAAGGTTCTAGGCTGTCCACAAATTCCGACCTGGCAAGGTGTAGACCAGACTTCAGTAGATTGTGATGTTGATGACTGATAGGCAGGTTCCCAAATGCTCTGCTAGACACTGGAACATCTGTTGAAAATATCCGGGGCATTTTCACCGGGTCACATTTTGTCCTGCGGTTGCGCCGTCTGGGAGGTCTGTATAAGACATCATTTGCCACAGCTTCAGATGCACTATCTTTCATTCCATAAAGAGGTGCAATCTCTTAAGAAAAGAAAACACTATTTTGAGAAAACAAATACATAGCAGTGTATTGACAGCATCTTTGCAAATATCTAAGCTACTCTTGATGTTCTGTATTGGAAATTCTATTAATACTAACTAAGAGCCCTAGGAAGACACCAACAGATGGTAATACATAATCATGAACATAGATCAAAACTCTCTACTTATAATCCTATCAACAAATGGATTGTTTTTGTCTTTTTAGAATATTTGGATTGTGTTGATAATAAATAGCTGCAACACAATATCCTATCAGAGTCTGCTAAATTAGTAAGGAGTGGCTGGGATTTAGTAGGACGAGGGGCTAGGGCTTGGGGTAGACGGGCTGGGGTTTAGTAGACGCAGGGGGGCTGGGATTTGGTAGATGAGGAGACCTGAATGGGTTTAGTAGGACGGGCTGGGGCTGGGATTTAGTAGACGGGATGGGGCTGGGATTTAGGTAGACGGTGGGGGCTGGGATTTAGTAGGACGGGGAATGGGATTGTGAGTGTGAATTTAGGGGAATAGGGGATTTAGTAAGGGACAAAGGGGGGACTGGATTTAGTACAGGGTGGGGGGGCTGGGATTTAGTAGATGAGAGGGAATGGGATTAAGTAGGACGGGGTGGGGCTGGGATCTAGTAGACGGGGTGGGGGCTGGGATTTAGTAGACGGGTGGGGGCTGACTTAGTAGACTAGGGGAAATGGGATTTAGTAGACCTAGGGGACTGGGATATAGTAGACGGGGTGGGAGTTCGGGATTTAGTGGGACAAGGGAATGGGATTTAGTAGATGAGGGGGGGCTAGTGTAGTGGTGACAAGGGGGGCTGGGACTTGGTAGGGATGAGCAGGAGGGGAAACGGGGTTGAAAGAATTATGGGAAATGGGATTTGCAGACGAGGGGGACTGGGACCTAGTGACTGTGGAGCTGGGATTTGCAGACGAGGGGGAATGGGATTTAGTAGACCAGGTAATGGGCATTTAGTAGACAAGGGTTTTTGTGGGTTTCGAATATAGTAGAACCCAGGACTGGGATTTAATAGACGGGGTGGGAGCTGGGATTTAGTAGACGAGGGGGGGACTGGGATTTAATAGACGGGGTGGGAGCTGGGATTTAGTAGACGGGGTGGGAGCTGGGATTTAGTAGACAAGGGGGACTGGGATTTAGGGATTAAGTAGACGGGGTGGTGGCTGGGATTTAGTAGACGAGGGGGGGCTGGGATTTAGTAGACGAGGGGGGGCTGGGATTTAGTAGACGAGGGGGGGCTGGGATTTAGTAGACGAGGGGGGCTGGGGTTTAGTAGAGGGTTTTTTTTAATACAGTACTTTTCAAAATAAACCTACGTATCCATTAAAAGTTAAGTTTTTGGGTTTTTTTGCGGCCCACATAAACTTAAACCTTGTTTATTTGGCCCTTGCTAGACTTTGAGTTTGACATGCTTGGTGTAGGCACTTCAAAAAGGGTGATAAGTAGTAGATAGGTATAACAAGGTGTACTCCCCTTTCACCTTAGAATAGTAAACATATTTAAAAAGATAAGATATACTCACAATAAATGTATGATGAGCTAGAAAGATTACAGGAAGGAGCATGTAAATAGGGAGCTGTGTCAGGCTCTGTAGTAGTAGCTGTATGGGTACCTCTACAGGCTAACGACCCAATGTCCAAGCAGGAATACCGGAGAGGAGGTATAGAAAAAATATCCAGTAAAGACCAAAGAAAAAGTTACTTGCACTTTCTCCTAAATCCCTATGTATATTTAAACAAATGGAGGTCATTTAGATTCTCCACTAGCCAATGGAGTGAATGTCCGCCTGCCAACGTCAAGGCAGACCCCCCCTAGGCGGGTCCTACACTGACCCTTCACCTTGCTTCCTCGATCTTCTGGCAAAGATATCTCTAATGAGATAGAGAGGGGTATTTTTTTATATAGACCCTGCGACAAAAGTAACGTCGCCACTGGTTTTTGGAGGGGCCTGTTTGTCAGCTCACTGGACAGAGACAGGCTACCAAATTCACCAGGTCCAGCTATTGTTGGTTGTGGGTGGGCTGCCAGACTAACACAGGTACCGACTGGCAGGAAGTCAGGTACCTGGTTGGGCCCTTCCGGGAAGATATGTGGTGAAAGTAACCTCGCCACTGGTATTTGGAGGGGCCTGTTTGCCAGCCTCCTACCCTGGGACTATGGGCACTGTGATAACACATGTTCAAAAGTACTGTTTCTGCCCCTTGGACTTTTAACTGGAACAGATTCAAACATGTGGTGGCGGCGGCCATCTTAAATTGTCCAGCAGTGTTTTTTCGTTGTGTGTATGGAACTATTTTAGGCATGGGACCATGTGCACGGTGCGTCCAAAAAAAAAAGACTTCCAGGAAATTCCTGAACCCCTGAACCAATCTGGGTGATTTTTGGATATGTTGTTCACCCAGATCGGGGCTATCAATTGGCTTGTTGTTCCTGTATCCACTGTATAAATAACCAAGCTGTTAAATAAACCCTAAGATCTGCTAAGTTCCTGTTTTACCCTCTGTAACGGATCACCTGGCACCCCGACTGGGTACCTCTGTTGAAGGATGCTCCTAGCGCTTCCAAAGGGCTCCAAGCGCTCCGCAGACACCACAACCACCGCAGACCCCACTAACCGCCGCAGCTTGGTTGGGGTCTCGCCGTCTCCTACCCACCCTGGACCTATGTCAAGGCTTCAGGTTCCAGTGGGTGAACCTCTCCTCCAAGAGAGTGAAGCAGGAAGAAGCTCTTAAAAGAGCTTAGAAGTGATTATCCAAGAGAGCATGCAGAGCATAGCAATCCCTTGTAGTGATATAGTAATTCCCCCAATAAGAGACAGGACTCTAGATTGAGGGTGAAGAACTCTGGTTTAATGACACACACTCTGCTTTTATGCAATTCTCCCGAGACCCCAACCAAGCTGTGGCGGTTTGTGGGGTCTGCAGTGCTTATGGTGTCTGGGGCGGTGCTGATGGTCCTTGGTAAGCACTAGGAGCATTGATTGACGGCGGGTCCATCACACACCCCTATATACTTATTAACCCTTAATAGGAAACACATGGGATGGGCGGTAACTAAATGACCTCCATTTGTTTATATATACATAGGGATTTAGGAGAGAGCGCAGGTAACTTTTTCTTTGGTTTTTACTGTATGTATTGGGGCTGATGTGTACTGTGGTCATTGCTGACGCCCAGGAGTGATGGGAGTGAGCGCAGGACTTATCTTTTTGTAATATCCTTTATTAATCTTACACAAATTATAGGATAAGATGGAACTGCCGGGCTATAACGGTAAACAGAAATAAAAAAGAGGCTATAGAGGTAAACACACTGCCCAAAGGCAATATAACATAGCCAATACAAACAAAAAATTGCCACATAGTGTGTCCCATAATGTCAGGATATTTATATCGGCGGACATTTTGTGCTAAGATAAAAATTAAAAGTGTATATTGCCAGAGTCACTCATAACAGAGCGGACTCCATTTTGGATTTCAGGCAAATCAGACACAAAATTTCTTTCCTTTCTGTAACTAGCCACTAGCCTGAGCGAAGGAATGCATTATGTAAACAAGCCAAGTGATAAGCAATGAAGCAAGGGGATGGAATGCTCTGTTTAGATGTTAATAGAATAGAAATAATTTTAAACACAGACACTAGTGACAGAGAAGACTAAGTAATTAATTTTACTTTCTAAATTTTACAAGGTCCCATTGTAAATAAGGGGTGAAATTGAGTTTAGAACTGTCGATTTTAGAAATTACAATCAAAGTAGTTGCCACAAAGACTGAGGCAAACGCTTTGAACTGACAGCAAATTTAAGTTATGGTAGTCATTTTAGATAAGCCAAATGACGTCAAAATCGTCATCAGGAAAAGTTAACTCTTTCCTGGATAGGAAGGTTTAGTGAGGCGAGACTGCCCTCTATGGATCAAATACCTAAATTGCGATCTGCAGGTTGACCACACCTTCAGTTTCCTATTGGCCTTATCAACTAATGACGTACAGAGAGTCTGGCCCTTTAAAAGTTAGGACAAAGGGAAGAGAGAGGTTAGTTTTTGGGCATTCAGATTCGGACATGCAGAGAGATCCAGGACACTCTCTGGGACTAACATTCAACTCTCAAACTCTCTTGGACACAACTCAAGAAACACTCCTTGACACTTAGAATTTTACTGATACTTTCTAACCAACATCACTTTTCTCTATTACTTACACACCTCCATACAACCAATCATACTCGCATTCAAGTTTCTGGGACTTCCTACTCATCTGATGAGAATATCTATATAACTGGTAAAAATCTAAATTAATTAAAATTTACTAATAGCATGATATATGACTGGATAAATCACGGTCAGATTTCAATATTTAGAAATCTTAGTTAACTAAAGAATATATAGTTATAAACATTCCATTCTGCAGGTGGAATTAAGAATAATTATATATTAATGTGATATTATCACGTGTTAGCATACCGCTGTTTTTATCCAGGTGTATTGATTTGCTCTAATATAAGATAAGATATCTTTTTAGGCAAATTAAAATCTGATAGATTATTCTTATTGGATGGTTCCAGGAAATGATTAATGAGCTGGTTCAAATGTTATTTTAATTGAAAATTACACGAAAATAGGATATTTTATGGATCCAGTGTGTATTTGTGTAGTGTGTATAGTGAATGCAGAGTGTGTGTGTTTGTGTAGTGTGCGTAAAGTGAATGCAGTGTGTGTGTGTAGTGTGTGTAAAGTGAATGCACTGTGTGTGTGTAGTGTGTGTGTAATGTGTGTATAGTGAATGCAGAGTGTGTGTGTTTGCATTCACTATATATACACACTACACAAACACACACACTCTGCATTCACTATACACACATTACACACACACTACACACACACAGTGCATTCACTTTACACACACTACACACACACACTGCATTCACTTTACGCACACTACACAAACACACTCTGCATTCACTATATATACACACTA